AGCTAGCCAGAGTTCCATGTTGCTCATTCTTATTATTATGGCCATCTGATCTCATCTTCAGTGTCGAGTGAGCGTAGGCGGCAGCTGTTGATGTATGTGTGCAGTTTGTTGGAGATGCTTTTCGTGACGCGCCAAGTCTCTGAAACATCATATTGAAGCACTGACTTGACTGACATTAGTGTTGAAAATCCGGATGTTGTTCACGCTTTATGCTGAGTGGAGTGCAGTGGAGTAGATCTCCACACTGATTTCATATTAATGAAGGAAGGCATATCTTGGTGTCCTTCGGATGCTGGCTTCGACATCCTCATCTGTGCCAGTGTAGTGTGTAGTTGAATTGATGCTGTCCATGTAGGCGGGTGAAAGAGACAGCTTCCTTTGGTTTTCTCCCATTGATGGTGATTGGTGCTTGTTGTTGTCATTGTTTGGGTATGTTCATCACCTCTGTTTTGTCTACGTTTCCCTGGAGTCAGTTTCGTCTTCGCTGCCTCGCCTCTCCTGCCAACTTGTTAGTTTTCGACTGTAGATCTTTCAGTTTGTACGACATTGGACATAAGTCTTCATCGGCTAAATCCGAATCCTCCTTCTTCTAGAGTCTTTTCATTGGTCAAACATTGTATGCCCCTCTTCTCGCTGCTCACAGTTTGTTGCATGATCCAGTTCACCATAATCAGGATCAATATTATTAAAATTTCAGTTTCAAAAGACATTAAAATATGTCTATTTTGCTTGTGCTCAACTTATATATAGTGAATATCATGTCGTTTTAAAAACTTTCAATTGATTAGCAAGAAATAACTTTCTTTCAATCTAGTGAAGTTTTTAGTTTTAAAAACATTTGCGATTAATGTTTCTGAGTAGTCTGTTTGTCACTGAATATCAGTTGGTATAATTCTATTGTTCAAACATGGGTTTAACTAGGCACTAATGAGTTCAGTTGACCTAAGAAAATAGAATTTAGTATCACAGCTGATAAATGAATGGTAGTACAATTATCATATTCCATTGAAAATGATGATTCATACTTGGCATTCTTCAAAAGAATATTCTCAAGTAATAAATTTTCTGTAAGATAGCGATAGTATGATAATCTTCTCTTTGAACCGATATAAATTAGTCAGGGTTTTCACTTATTCCACTCATAACTGTTACTATAATTTGGCACTTCGATTGTGATTATGACTGAATTCAACAAATGTACATTAGATGACTTTCAGAAGTACATCAGAAACAAAATAGAACTTTTATTGTTACCCAAAAACAAACAATATTTGTCATCAAAAACAATAAATTTTACTAGTGGTATTTTAACATGAGCATCATTTTATTTACCTACCTCCAAGTAAGCACTATGAGGGCTCACGTGTTTGCCTATGGTACAGCACATTTTATCTTCGATAAGGTTTCTGAATTAACTTAAAGCATCAAATTTTGTTTACTTTAGGCGTAACTGAAATCTTCAAATGCTAACAGTGAGGGTAAATTATAAAATTTTAACTTGTTCAAGCATTGCTTACTTTGAAAATATTCAATGCATTACGCATTCTCAACCTTGAACTTCGAATGAGCCTTTAGTTAGTTTGTTTTTAATCTTGATATTATGATAGCCTTAGTAAAGTTCGTATTTGAGTAATTTATAAGATTTGTTTTCTCACTTAAAGTGCATGATATACAGTAAAGTGATTAGTGCTTTAGTTTTATCGATTCTTATTCAATATTTTCAGAGTCTCATTCAATATGCTTTTTGATGGAGGGTGACGCAAGCAGTTGAAATGAAGGCGTTAGAAAATGCAAATTTCTTGCTTGGGAAAGTTAGTTAGCTTATTTGTTAATGTTTAGAATTGAGCTGTTCTCATTGGAATCTAGTTGTTGATGGCTTTTTGCTGTACTAGAATAATAGGAACCCAACTAGGATCTCGGTTAAATCCACCTCATTTTGGGTTTTTTTTGCATGAGGTGTAGAGCACTAAGATACTCTCGTGTTAGGTTGATCAAATATCAGGGGCGACTTATCATTATTTGATCACGTTGAAGTAACAATATCACATTGAGGTGCGTTTTGTTTTACGCAGCCTTTTGTGGTTCTAATGTTTTCTAACGTATTTTGTACAAATTGTATGTCACTGACACCCAATATATTTAATATGGAATGTTCAGCATTTACTTCAAACATCTGGGGAAGTCGGGGTACTGCCTTTGTCTTGAATGCATGAAAGATAAAAATTACATTCCGTGAATGCTACGGGATAAATGTGAACTCTTTCGGTGCCTTGAGGTTTCTAATGACCTTACGAATACTACAAGAAGCTTTGTATCGCTTTATTCTACTCGTCATTACTTGTCATTAAGTTTTGACCGTATTCTTGAAACTGTATTATTCACTGCAGTAAAAACGCTATTACTTAGCTTTCCAAGCTACATGTGGCAACCTTTACCATGGAACCACTTAGCTTAGTTGACACATCACAAAACTGACGGAAAAAATTTGATTAAAAGTTAGTATAAGACAAATTAAAGTTGATTACTATAAAGCGAATAGTTATTTTCTAAAGCTCTTTATCATGAAGGAAAGTTTTTGATCTATGCCACTAATTCATTGGAGATTTTAACACTAGACATATCAGTCAAGTAATCGCTGTAATGCCTGTGGATTGAAAAGTCTAACTCGTGACGTATTCAGTGTGCTTGTTTTTAAAAGCAATATTGAAGAGAATTCTCAACCTTGCTGGAACCTACTGAAGAAGACATTTTTAGCCTTATGCTATTTTCTAACTGACACAGCTTCAAAATATTTTTCTATGATTAACAGCATCCCAACTTGAAGAACTAGCTTGACTGAAGAAGAAGAAGAAGAAGACTTCGTCTACTAAATAGAGATTTTGGTGCAAGTTGCACCACTAAACGTGATCACTAAAATTAGATGGAAAATCACATTTTTTACACTAATTTTGAAGTATGTAACAATTCTGAATTTCCATCTCTCAAAATCACTTGATTCTATAATCTTGGTGATCTTTTTTTTCTTACTTTCCGGGTCATTATCCCCTTATGAAATGTTAAACTGTTTGGAAAATTTTACTTTTTAATGGGGAACTATTATCTGTTTTGCATTTCATGTTGATTAAATCGCACTCAATCCTTGCGTCTAGTGAATGTACCAAAAATAGTTTGTTACTGTGAACATAAACATGTACCACGAATCAGTTGTTTTACGTGAATGTTTTTTCTTAATAAGCATCTTCCGAGCATACCTTTTTTCCAGCTAGTATTGTTTTGTAAAGAACTTTAAATGATACTTAAGTCACCTTTATCAGTACAATTTGAAATTTTTCACTATGAACTAAAAATGATCATTAGAATATCTTTGAAAACTGTCGAAGACAATGCTTCTGTGAACACTTTAAAAGGAACGTTTATCCACTGAGCTGCAGATATTCCTCACCACTTCAGATAACATTATGTCAGTGGTTAATTTCTGTTGTTCTACGCTTCTTCAAAACTACACAGTATCAAATTTGATGGCTTTTACACAATGAAAGGATTTAAAACGCTTTGAAAACCTAGATATCAATCAATCTGATCTATTGTTAATTCATGACTGTTATATGAGTTTTTAGTTGTTTCACCATAAAATTTCCATATGTGGATCATCAAATAACTAAGCGGGTCGAACCCTAAATTGTTTTTTTATTTTTATTCCAGTCATAACTGCACTTTTTGTATTTGTGGAGAACAGTAGGATTTTAAATAATTTGGTCCTCGTTTTCATGCTTGGTTCATATTTGTCCTTGAATATATTGACTGATCATTTCCCCACCAAATCGTTTGGTATGCCTTATATTCTGTTAATAATTGTGCGTCGGTAAAACATTTCTTCATTAAATCTCGATATGCAGGAATAGTTTGTGGATAATTTGTGAGGTTACCTTCACAGCTTAATCGGCATCCACTTCAAAGTACCGTGTTAGATGAAGCGTAAGTAGGGTTGAATTACTGCACAGTGGTCACCGATGATTTTCTTCGAGATGGATATCCCAAAGTCCTAGTAGGAAGTTGCAGCATATGCGGTTCACTAGGTTAGATGTGATGAGAAATACTATTTGTAATTGTATATTGAATCCACCAGTAATCACGTTTTCACAGCTGATTTCGGAAAACAGTCAAGATGAAGGACTGGTTCAGAAAGTTTGTGTCATCATTCATTTTTTCAGGAAAAGAATTATGGACGTTCAATAAGATGAAATCATAATGAAATTGTATTTTCTTTTAAATATAACGTTATCTCATTGCATAACATTGGTTCCTACGAACTCAAGCATTGCAGGATCCTTCGGAACTAATAGCATGCTGGGTATTTGAATTACTAATAGAAGCTTCAGGAATTCTTCGGGTTACCAGTTGTCGTTAAACCGAATTATCGCCTATCAAGAACTGTTTTCTTGAGTGAAAGTTGTTTGATGTATACTCTAATGACATTCAGAATTTAAGCATATACATTTAGTCATAACCTTATTTAAAGACTATCATTCGCATATGTACATCAGCAAGAACACAATACATATGCAGCCGAAAGTACCATGTTTCTTATGCTATTAGATTAGCTAATATGCTATTTGTATGTTAACTGTCTTTAAGAATTGTAATGACCATAGTAAAAGTGTCAAATTTATCAGTTTCATATTAAGAAAACAGAACTGAAATCGATTAAGAACGAATGAATCATGCCAATAAATAAAAAACTTAAAATAGAAAGGACTTCGAACTTTGTAGAATCACTGGGTGCATTTCTGGCGAAATGCTCTTACTAAAGTATACTCTGTTTTAAGTTTTCAAGGTTATAGTAACGCTGATCAAAGAGATCTCATCAACATTAATACTCACTAATAAACTTCTGTTACGCTACAGTGTTTAAATGTTGACAATTACATAATTTGATAAAAAAGTTTCCTCTTCTACCTGATTTTTATTGTTCTTGTTTATTTTACTTGCTCTACGTTTAGGTTACATTTGGGTGCTACATGGCTCGAAGTTATGTGGCATTAAATCAGTTAGGTGTGACATGCTTTACAGGTATGTCATATATTGTCAGAAAATCAATGTTGGATGAAGTCGGTGGGCTTGCCTATTTTGGCAAGTATTTAGCTGAAGATTACTTTCTTAGTTCTGCACTGTGTGAAAAGTGAGTAGTTGTAATGGCAGTTTTGTTTAAATGGTCGATTATTGGGTAATTGATTTGTTGTATTAAAAATATATTAAAATAGTAATGACCTGATATTTGTAATATTCACAGAAAATCACAACTGATTGAGAAAAAGCACACCATGAAAGTCATTAAACTGTATTCTGTTGAAAAAGAAGAGAGGTCATAAGATTTTGACTACGTATTTCTTCATAGTATTGCTTTCGTGCAGTTTAACCATCATGTGAGCAAAATTGAAGTTAAGCTTAGGACACGAGGCTTAAAAGGAAGGTCATTTGATGAGTTTACGAAATTTCACTAGATGAGTTGACTTAGAAATGTATATCATATGCATAATGCTTAACGCTTTGCCGGATTTGGACTTAGGGTGGAATAACGCTGAAGGTCGCCAGCCCAAGATGTAGCACCAATTTATTAGTTTTGGGTTTATCTTTAAAGAGAAGTGTGGGGTATCTATCATAGGTTATTGAAATGATAGGAACCAATATTTGTGGGAATTTCGGTCACATCTAAAAATTGGTCACAACAATATACATGCATACATTCTTTGTCTTGGAGTTTTTTAAGGTTGTTGTAAATTTTCATTCATTTATTCTGTCTCTTCTCATATACTTCGTCTGGTTCAGTAACATTCCTTCAAATGACCGGATTATTTAATACCTGGTGCTTTGCCGACTGAAGCAACCGAGTATCATTCTTCGGTGTGCCATGAGGAGATCATCACGCTTATCATTCAGGACACCCGTACATATTTGTAGTTATATAAGAGTTACTGTTACCCGCATTCGAAAATTGTTACAATTATAGCCAGAAATCAGAAAAGGATCACTGACAGGTGTCTTAGCCTATGATGGAGCACTTCTGAAGTGTACGAACTATACTCTATGATGAAGGCTTTCAGCTTCATTACAAAATATTTTGGCAGTATGCATAACTATGTTCTGTTCAGTGTATGTTAAAAAGTTCGTTGTTGCGGCTGAATTTTTTTATTACAGTAAGCAGATATTTTAGTCAAACTATTCACTAGATATAGCTGTTAGATGATGAAATCAAATGCACGTGTAAACTTCTCTGATTTTCAGCTTCGTTGATTTTTTGGACAGTGAATATAGTGTATTTATAACTGATGAACCGGCATGCTAATATTTTTAAAACTGGAGACCAAAAAATGCCCTCATGCAAAAGGTGAATTTTAAGTTACTCACCATGTCTGGTCAATAAGAAATTTTAAATGATTCAACAGCCTTTTCACTTAGATCACCAGTAGTTGTAACCACTATTATTTATCTCTATGCAAGCTTGTCTTGTAACCTCTTCAAAGTTTACTGATTACCGGTGAAGTATGTTAGTTGTGTAACATGCGACATGTATACGTATTTTAATTTGATCTGTTAACAGGATCTGTTTTCATACAAATTGTGACATACCGTTTTTTTTACTCACTCCATTTACTAGTCTTTTTACCTACTTTTTGGAAAAAGTAGTTTATTGAGTGAGGCATAGCCAATGGTCAGTTTGAACTTCAAACTTCTACCATTCTAGGTGTAAATTCGAACACAAGCAACTATAAAGCTGAGGTTCTATTTCGGAAATGGTATAAAATTTCAACAATTAATTCATGAATAAATTGCTCTGAAAAATGGATAGTTATCAGAATATTTTAGGGATATGGAAATAAATAAGAAAAATAGGTCTTTTGGACAAAGTTGTAGCGTCCAAATCAGCAACATTCGACCATATAGGTCACACCCTTATCTAACAGTTAATTTTATCATTAGTTGGAAAATTTGAATAGTTTATTTTTCTGTACAAGTATACATTTATTTTGTTATTGATTTTTTAGTGAGCATACTTCCTGTGATTGTTAGTTGTAATAGAAAACTTTATTAATATTGAGCATTAACCTGTCGTGTAAACCAAATCCTGCTTCTCAAAATGCAATTATGCATGTAGCCTGATGATAATGTTACATGAAGGCTATTTGTTTATTGATGTCATGTTTGAATTTAAGCCCATTTAAGTGGGTGTTAGTTGATTGATGGCAGTAGATAGGAAGCCACGGACCTAAGTTGTACTTACTGACACTTCTTAGCAAGGTGCATCTGCAAACTTCAGATGACTTCAATCCCTTCTGAGATTCGAACTCTTGTCACTCATTGTTGCGGTCAGTGACGTTCAGCACTCAGACTAGACAACATGAACTTTGTTACTCTCCAGTGAACAATCAATATACCTAATTCAATCCTGTAAGAGGTTAATCGCTGTCGAAATAGCTCAGCTGTAACGTAGCTGACTGAAGAACTTGGTGACATTGGTTCAGATATCGGAAGTAGGGTAAGTGAGTTGATAAATCTGTGAACATAAGTCACCTCAGATGGATGGAATATTTGTTAAACATGTCTGCTCACTGTCAGCACGTCACACAATTCTGGTTAAAGTGAATTGAGGCTGCAAAAAGGCTAATTGTGGTCAAACTAAAACTAGACATTATTCCTGTTTTCTATGGCTCAGAAGTATGAATATATTATCATCATATTTAGCACCATACGAATTTCTTTACTGTTTAATTTCAGTATGTTCTCCTTTCACAACTTTATGAAACTTCTGCCTACTTTCTTCCTAATTTACCCATCTTTCATCTTTATGCGTCCTCACCACATGTGCTGTTGTTAGGTGTGACAACTTGCACTGTTACGCTGTAATGTCAGGTTGCACGTTGATTTTGACTGAGTGGCACTGCACACATTTTGGTGCTAGGATGAACTTATGATTCCAGTAAGGCATCAGTGGGGGACTACATGGAGCTTTTTTCATAGTCCTCTTAACTTTGGCAGCCATGATTCCTAGGCAGACAGAACACTGAGTATCAACACGTAAGGCTTTATTTCAGAGAGCTGCTGGTGGTAGCTGATTCAGGAGTAGATTCAGGTTTATAGAATTCCTCTTGACAATATTTCTTCTACGTTTTTGTCGTCTCTCCTACAAGTAGAAAGCCGATTCATTCTTCTTCCCTATTCTTTCGCGACGCATGAATTTTTGCACGAATTTTCTTATTAGGTCTTAGTAACTGTCAAATATTGTTTATTGCCGCATCTTCCAATCTTTTTAACGATTGGTAAAATGTAAATGTTATTCTGTGTGTTATCACACACTACTTCAAATTAGACCATATATATATATATATATATATATATATATATATATATATATATATATATATATATATATATATATATATATATATATATATATATATATATATATATGAAGCAGTGGCTTTTCCGTAGGACTATAAACTTTCTGTTCAGTTTTCCTAATCCTTAAAGCTCTTTTTGGTTGCAGCAACTGGATAAAATAAGTAGCCTGAATTAATCATTTCAATTCATGTCCCAAAAAAAAAATTTACATCAGGTTCATTACATACTATGACTATTATTGTTGTTTTGCGGAGACATTAACGTACTTCGTAAACTTAGCAATGACTGATTCGTTCTTTTTGAGCATGTCACAACAAAACACACAGAGGCAGACAGTCACATAAATACAATCATGATGGTAACGGTGAGTTTTGATTGCAATGAGGGTGGAACTTATGAGTAGTGGCAGTGAAACAATAGTTTAAGAAACTCACCTGTCAACAGGTTCAAACTGATTCACTGCAGTGTATCCTAAACAATATTTACAATCAATAGAAGTAAATCATTAATTGGACAAAAGATGAAGCGTTGTTTCTAAAATCTTAAAAAAAGACAAACGTATAGGTCAACCTAAGGTAAATGTCATGTAGGCGTAGAAAATGGATGCCAGCGTTATATGTGAGAGTAAAATACTATGGTAAAGCAAAAAAGAAGTAAATTCATGACACGAGAAAGGAAAAGTAAAGGAGAAGAGAAATTTTAATCACTAATAATAACTGGCTACTCATAGAGAGTAGGTGAATTCCTGATAAAATCTAAGAGCATCGTGTTAATAATTATTTCTTTACGAAAATGCATTAGCACTCTCTAGAATATATTGGAAGAAAAGTTCATTGTTTCAGTAGAGATTATTTACTGAGAAACTAAAATCTTTGTTGATAACAGCATCAAAGTCTTCCACAAAGTCTTATTAGCGAAAATTCTTCTTTTCGCCATCCCAGTGTGTATTGTTCTTGCCTTGAATTTTCGACACGTGATCGTAATCACTTCTTGCGTTTTACAACGTTGCTATATATACTACTAATGGGTATTCGTATAATTAGAGTTCAGTGCATATTGCCATCATATATCAGTGTAACAAAGAATAGGAAAGCAGAAATCTAGGAAAATATACTGTTGATGATCAAGACCTTCAGTATGCATGATAACTATTGGATAGAAAGTTTTGAGTAAACGAGTGATTTGAAGGTTTAAAATTAACAAAATATAATATATTAAAGCAGAATATTAGCTTTGTTAACAGATATATTGTTGGTCACATCAGGTATCAGTAATAAAGCTGTCAGTAGTTCTATTGCGTGGATGAAAACACTGGCAGTTGAGTGGTCAAAATGATAACTTCATTTCACAATGGGATACTTTGGCTTGCTATGAACCGATTGTGATCATCCGAGGTCTTAACGAATGAGGTGTACTGACTACGTGTACACACCCGATATTGATTTTGAAAAGAACAATAATTAAATAAAATTGACAAGTCTACAAACTTTACTTTCAGCTTTGAAACGGATGGTATATAGTCAGTCAAGGATATTAGGAATATCAGTGACTAGCCTATAACTTCTTGAAGATGGAGAAAAATGTTTATTTGCCGTATGTAAATGGAATATATGGTTTGAAGAAATAAATGATCTAAAATCATGTAAACTATAAGTGTTTAGTGTCCTCCAGTCGGAAAATTACATTTCTGATGGATACCAGGCAAAGAAGCACTCTATGTCAAGCAACAGTTTTATTAAACATCCTATCCCAGTTTTATCAATCTGTCAAAGTAATAATTGTTGTTATTTATATTAATTTTTAGAATACAAACTTTATAGAATAAGTACCTTGAGATGGGTCATCTAAAATAATAAAGCACTGCTTATAAGATTCGAAAAATAGAAAAAAGGTTAGAAACAAAAACAGAGACGTATTATTAGAAAAACGATTTCAAACAATCGTGCAAGGACGCACTTAGTACTTTCGTTTAGTTCTAGATAATAAATGAATCGAGTAATCTGCAGCATCCTCCCTATTTGTTTCAATTCTGAGTCTTGTCTATTAGCCTTTCAAGCCACTTACCCGCGTGATATCTCAGACCCCATCGACAAAGTTACGAGACCTTAACAGATTCTAACCCAAAATCAATATTCCTCATCCCACAGTGCCATATCAACCGCTGACCACCTCTCTGCTTTCAGACAGTTCCAAGGCAAGCTACCAGTAAGCGGGCTAGGAGCCACAGAAAAGACGTGCGTAACACGTGTCCAAGCTATCGAAGCTGATGTTTCGAGATGATAAAACTCAATGAGTAACTATATCTGTCACGTTCAAAATAATTGTCTCACCTCAGACGTACTTACGTGATGTATCCACCGGATGTGAGTGATTTTGAGTAGACAGCGCTTATCGAAGACAATAAGTTGTCTGATATCTTCAGATAAGAGCGGCAAGGTTTAGTAGACGTAGAGCAGTACTGTCTGCAGTGATACGCTACCAAGCTAAACTTTTGAAGGTGAGCTGCTCCAGCATGGTGCCAAAAATGAGCCAGACTGATGTATTTCACCCTGCATTCTGAAATTAGGTTGGATACCTCATCAACTATAGGTATAATAACACACACAACTACCTGAGTACACAAACTTATCGATAAGTGCTGCTGGTTATTCACAAAGAGTGTGTGGAAGAACAAACTTCTACTCATCTTGCGGAAGCATTTTGCTGGTGAAAACCACATGCCAGACTTAAGCTCACTGACCGTTGAGTAAATGAATGTAGTTTGAAAAGCCTGATTGAAGTCGCACAGTACGCCGATATTATCACACATCTGAGGTCGGAAAGCCTATCACTTGACCAAACGCCTACGCAAACACCATCACACTCTTCCATCGTGATTTTTTCATTGACGGTAACAGTAAACAGGAATGGAGAACCATATAGCCCTATCCAACCTCACTACTGGTTTAAACAATGGAGATTCGTGGCTTTATGTCTTCAATCCAACTTCACTCCTCCAACTAAAAACGTCCCAAGAGACCCTCTCTCTTAAAGACCATTCATGAGTACAGACTATTCAAAAGAAACTGAAAACAACCCCTCTTAGTATTATAATTATTATAGATTATTATTTTTCCCTTGGTTTCCTAGTGGAATAAAGAGCTTCAGTAACACGTATCCACTTCACTCTGTTCTCTCAAGTCTTCTCAACATGACTCCACGACTACCCAGAAGCTTTCATTTCTTCCTCACATGATCTCCTACATGTCATCCTCACAACGAACGTCCGACTCGTCGTTTCCACTTTGAATTCCACTCGAGGATCTGACCTGGTGCGTGATGTCCCAAATGGTCTTCTCAGTGTATACCCAATCCCCTTCGACTTTCTTCTGCATATTTGTTGGGCGATGGGTTCTTGGTTGGTTCTTTGCAGGCAGGCAGGCAGGCAGGTTGCATGCAGCAGAGCATTTTTTAGTCTTTAGTATTTTGATTGGGGTAGACAGCTACATGATTCCTTGTCAGTTCTTGCAAAGAATTAAGCCTCTTTTCTTTGTAAGCTTGATCAAGTAGCTCTTCTTCCAATTGGCGGGCATTTTTCCTTCTCTCCCTCCTAACCTTCTGCAGTAGTAGTGTGAGCATATCTGCTGTTGTCTCTGCGTCTGTTTTCAGTGCTTCTGGAGGAATTTCATTTCGTCCTGCTACTCTCACCGATTTCAACAGGTTTATGGAGTACAGGACTTCACTTCTGCCTTTGTCGGAGGGCTTGTGTTCACTGGTAATTCCGTGGGGTTGGCTGCTGATGGTATTTCTCGATGAGTTGCAGGTGGTGGTAGTGGTGGTAATAGCGGTCGATTCAAGAGATTTGAAGTGATCAGCTCATCGTTTCTTTGTTTCTTCCCTTCACCAACTAGGCTTCATTCACTATCTTTCAATGGTATCATCTGTGTTGATCCCTTCCGTACGAGATAGTAACCTGGTTATTTGATATGACATTGTCAGTTCTCCCTTACCTGCAACCTGTTGTGCTTCACCTGCCATTGTGTAGTGAAAGTGTCATTTGTCTTTGCATGCACTCTTCCTCACTTGTTTGTCGCGTTTTCTACGTTGCACTCAGTTCCTCTTATCGTTGTTCACCCTCGCACTGCACTGCACTGCACTGGTTCATCTTCTGCTCCACCATCTTCCTCTCCCTCCTCTATCAGCTTGCATGTTTCCGTGAAGGTCCATTCCTTATCTTGCTTCTTGTTCTTTCCTAAGACAGTTATGCAAGTTTCCTATCACGTCTTTTTAGAAGGTTTTCAGTGTTCTTTCATGGAGGTTTCTTTAGGGATGTTGCTTAGTGTCCCACATTTTTTCTTGATGACTGACTGATGTGAATATGTCCCTTTTGGTTTCGTCCTTCATGTCCGGGTTCTGGGTGTTGAACTTGAACTGTGATCAGTCATTACCTGCTTGTTGTGAAGCTTTCAACTTGATTTCGAAGGTAGGTTCCTTGCACTGGATAGTGGTCTCAACCTTCCTACATCCTCTCCTCTTGATCTGAACTTGGGTCCATTTCGCTGCGTCTCCACCTTCTTCATATTGAGATGAAGTCGATTTGATTTTTAGTTTGCCGATCTGGTAAAATCAAATATATGTTGCTTTGTGAATATCCTTTTGTTTGTGCACACTGCCTGCAATCACCAAATCGTTGATTGCGCAGAAATCTGCAAACAGTTTTCCATTCTTATTGATTTCACCGAGTGCCTCTCGACGTAAGATGAATTCTTTTCCTGTGTTGTCCACTACCAGTTTTGCGTTCATGTCACCTCACCCATTAGAATTTTGATGTCGCCATCTGGGATGAGGTCTTGTTGACTGCTGATTGTAATTGTTTATCGTGGTTGTCGTCTGGTTGACAATATCGGAGTAGATTATTGACTCTCCAGTTGAAAGTTTGGAGAGTCCACTTCCATTCCATCTGCTTTTGCATATTCCTATTACTTCTATGCTATATCTTCTCATCTCTCTGGCAATCTGAGCAGCCTTGCCAGCTAGCCAGCCAGCTTAAAGCATTGCTCGTAAATTCTATGTCTCCATCCTTACTTTCGATTTCATCGAGAGAAGAGATGATACGTCGGTCAATTGGCTTCCCGCAGTCTCCCACCAACCAGCATCCTTTCGTCTCTTCGATTCTGACAAGGAATAAGTTTATTTTTGTTTTTTATATTTTCTTTCTGCTTTGATGTTTCTTTAGTGATTGAATTGGTTTTACGAGGTAGGGTTCCTAGCGCTACGCCTAATTTTCCCTTCTTATCCGGGCTTAGTACTGACCAGTAACTAATGAACTATTTAACTTTGCGAGGTTGAAAACAACCTTAATATTGAGAAATATAATGATGGTTGGTCTGAAGTACATATGATAGTATTTGTGATCCTGATGTAGAGTTAATTGATAGTCGAAACGTTAACGATCTGAACAAATTATGACCAATTCCATGTACAACAGTTTCTCACACTACTTTCATCGCCTGCAAAGTATGACATCTACCATTTCTTAGACGCTTCCAGTGGTAAACTGATGTGTTGGTTATTATCACACACATTAGGAAACACTTTCCTGAAGAAAATAAAAATAATAGGTTTATTCTAATCAGATGGAAGACTCTTATTCTGTCATAACTTCTCAAACAAGATAGTAAATTCACTAATTACAACTTCAACTCTATCCTTAAAAAAATCAGAAGCTTAGTTTGACCAAACTTAGTACACGAAATTCTCTGTTCTCATATTTTTTGCACTTTATTTTCAAATTTTTAACTAAAGCTGGAAGGATTTGACTTTATTTTACTTTTCTCACGGTTGTTATGAATTCATTTATTCAAATTGTGTTCATTCGAAGAGGAATTAATGAAACGAACTGGAATCACTATACAATACAGATATTGTTCAAATTATATATCTATGAATGTTCCTTATTCATATAAATAGATGTAAATGATTAAATTTTACAACAATAAGTTATCACGTTTCTTCTTTTACCACTGGAAACGTGATCTGTCACAAACCACTCTTATTTATCTTCAGTATTGATCAACTATTCCAAACTGTTTTCAAGAAGGAAGGGTCTGTGTGTTGGTTTTTAATTCAACTTATTTAAACAAACGCCTCCGAAATTTATCTCCAAGATTAAAACTATTCAAGCTAACTAAATCTAGTCAGTTTACCAAAAATGACAATTAGCTGATTTTTCGCCGGTTGTGGGGTCAAAATATGTCTCATTTGTATAAGAGTTTTGAATCACCAAATGTGGTGTCTGTAGGATCTTCATCAGAGAAAACTCAGTGACCGCAAGATGTCAAGACTTTTCCTCACTCCTTGTTGACATCACAGTAAGTTGGTTTAAAAAGCTATTCATATATGAAGTACTTGAGTATATATTGTGTAGTGTGCACCTAGTTTGTGGATTATTCATCAAAAGAATAATGTATTTGCATGAATTCTGTACTGTAATGTTATTGTCGTCTACCAACATGGTAATACTTTAGCCTTAATACATATGTAGTGATAACTTATGCTAATAACTACTGCAATTTCGTTAGCAAAATTCATTTTAGTAAAATCATCGAAATATTTTACTTCCTATTTACCATTCTCAACTCTTACTTTTTCCAACATTCTTTTTCTTTTTTAGAGGTTATCGTATAGTTATGTCATCATATCCAGTAATGCAAAATGTTGGTGATAGTACATTGGTGAATTATATTAGAAGAATGGTTCGCTGGCTTCGACTACGGTTAAATATGTTACCGTTGGTTTCAGGAGTATTGGAACCATTGAGTGAATCAATAACTCTTGGTTTATTATTTTCATTAACCATGGAATACTTATTTGATGTTAAATTTATACAGCTGCTTGTGGCGCATTTTACAATGTGGATTATACTGGATTATACACTTTTGCGTTGTATACAGGTATGTAGTTTGGTAGTGGGCATTTATTCATTTGAGTGGTATCACGTTATTGATTTATTTTACCAGAGCTTATTGTTGGTTTCCAGAACTAAACAGATCAATCTGTATTGGCAAACAGATGATGTGATTGTGTGGGCTTCACTAACTAAATTGACTGCAACATGATGATCATGCTAAAACATCGACGACCTAAACGCAGTGTTAACCGCAGCTGGGGTAAGAATGATCAGACTAAGGCGCAACACCAATCCAAAACGTCTGTGACTATTGTTCTGGGCAGTTTAAAAAGACTTTGGCTACCTGGCTATAGTTCTTTAGGTGTCAGGAATCAGTAGTTGGTGACTGTCGGTAATATCACTTATGACAGATCATAATTGTGTAGACGCACACAATCTACATCATCTAAATCTCGAAGATTTTACTAATGCTGATGCATTTTTTCTCTCTCCTCCTTTATATCTGGTATACTTGAGTGTTATTCGTTTTCTGTTCCCTTTTTCTTCGTTCACAATCGTGAAGATCGGTAATCTGCATATCTGTATTCCCGTTTATCTCTCTGTACATTGTTTTTTCTTGGGCCTGAATATCATTTTACACAGCACCTTGACACTATTTCACTTGGAATAGTAGTCCTTCAATTTATGGTTTATTAAATACAATGACTTTGGAATGCAGATGTATACAGTCTCAAAGGTCCCAACCAGACAAAACGTACCTCCTGAGTCCCAGTTCTTTAAATTGTCAATTAAATGTCGATCACTTTTGATTGTATAGTTCACTGTTGTCTTTCTGCTACTCTACATATTATACTGTGTTAAGAAGCGAAGTTATGGTATATGCCATTGCAGGTAAGGTGTGCACGAATCGGACGGCGACGAAAATCATTGAAGTTGACTGTAAACAATTGATAAATATTTATGTAAGTAAGGTGAACTTAAACTAAAAAGGGACAGTTCACCATGAAGTCTATTTGCAGATAGGTTCCTGTTATTCTGAATAATAATGAGTAATTTTTACGGAAATACCTTTTTTCAGGTAACTTTCAGTATGTACACTACCAAAAGTAAAAGTAAAACCCTACACTGTTTTGTTGATCACATTATACATATTCCCTTTTTTATTAAATCATAGAATTTTGGTTACGTATGTTAGAAATTGCGCGTAGCCGGAAGCATTTTCACATGCTATTCAAATTGTGAAGTTCAATAAATTGTTGACGGCGAAACAAATGTAGTCATGAGAAGAAATTTAGGTCTTAATCACCTAGATTATAATCACTTTTCAAACAACATATGAAATAAAGTCAAAGAATAAAATTCTCAATAATACTATTGAAAAATGAATTGAATGTCGCTAGGTTACCAAAAATTAGCTCACAAAATACATTTTTGGGCAAGACAACAAAGCTCCACAAATGCACTCTAAAAATAACATGGATAAGTGCTCACTGACTCACATTCATGGTGTGGATTTATTCACAAGCAGTTTTATTACGTGGGATACTTGATAATAAATCATTTATTTTAATGTCCACTTAGGTTAAAATTCAGTTGTCATTTCTTGCACCAAAAATGTTTTACAGACAATATTATTAATTGAGAAAACATCTCTAATGAACCTCTCTGAGTTATGCATACTTGAAATTATGGGGATAAAGGATACAGTTATGTACTTTTTGAAATGATTTTCATCAGTGTAATACATGAAGACATATTTAGTCTGTCACATATTTCACTGATCAGCACTGAAAGACATTCAGTCATCATGGTTTGGAGTGACACGCCTAATTACGGCATGTTATATCTTAATTTTATAAGTATTGGTGATAATGAAAGTCTCTAAAATTATTCATGTATTCAGTTTACTTGCTAACCTCTATTAAAATGGATTTTATGTAACAGATCTTCAATACTGCGTCTATTAAGCATTGAGTCAAAAGGCATTGACGTAATTACAGCGTAACACACATGAATTACCCTATGATGCATAGCTGTAGTTAACAATATAAAAAAGAATTGTAGCAACCTATGAAAGACTATATGGTAAAACGGTCATCAGTAAAGAATGCACAGACAGAAATGCACTCTGTCTAGTTTAGTGATTAAGAAGGTATAAAGTACATGAACTATAAAAGTCATTCAGATCATAATATCTTTAACCGGAAAATGAAAATTATTTTGGGTTGTAGGTTTAAAGAATTTCAGCGTACTCTAGTCTATTGTAACCAATAGTGTTATTTATCTGCATCAGACCTCCTATATAAAAAAACTCTGTATTATCTATTTGTGTACTGAATAGTGATCGCAAGTATGCCATATATGCACTAATTAACACGTTATCTAAGCGCCAGTTTAATGTTTTAACTTCATATTCACTTTGAACTGGAAAAGTAGATCTAATGTAGCTTAACAATGGGTACTCAACAGTTGTATGTAGTCAGAGGATAGAAATGAGGAGGTTGCTGAAATATTAGAAAAGATAAACACCCTGTTGTTGATATATGTCAATTGAACAAGTGTTACAGCATAGTTATAAAACTTATGAATCTCTTTTGGAGTGACTTTAAACGTCACACTAGCAACGACTAAAATATTCAATTGGGTTTCTCTTTTACAGCTGAAGAGGTAGTTTTTCTTAATGAAATGCAGGATTTTTTGTCAGCATTTGTTGGGATGTCCTTTGGAGCTACATTTACTTTGAGTGACTATGAGAGCCATATAACAATGACTGTGACAACCAATAGAGTTCTGTTATTTTGGCTAGACGTGCAGCATTTTATACAATAAAGATACATAATTGGTTATTTTTGTAGTTGGTAAGGTGGCCTTTAGAGCCATTCTTCATTTAGCATGTACACTTAACTTATAAGAACTATTTTAATTTAGCTCAGTGACTTCACTGTGTTTCTGAAACAAGTGTCACTCTGAGTCACTATATAACTAGATGAGTTGATTACCATAAAAACCTTTGATATCTGTCTTGCAGCACACCAAATATGGTTAGTTGAATAAAAAAATGAAATTAATGGAATGATGTTAGATAATTTTTTGAAGATCCACTCAAGTATATTATGATTAGCGTAAAATGAAATTTAAACCATTTTCTCAAGGTGATTGGATAACTTAGTGAAAAATTCATTTCGTCATATTGAAAGGCTTTTAAAGTGAACAATATCGTATGCAATTTGGTCAGCTGTTTGTCCTGCCTTAATAGTTATTTCTCAAGATTACACAATCACGCATTGTACCAACTTACGTTTTCCATAAGCTCGCCACCTAACCAAATGGATTGTTCCAGTGGGAATAAATTTCCACTCGATTCATTTATAGCAGAAACTGTTTAAATTAAAAAAAATCACATTTTCATTAAACAATGATAACATTCAGGACCAAAACTTTACAGATGCTTTCACAATAGGCCATTACAGTGATTTTTCACTGAAGAGAGTATTCAATTATGAGGGTAACAGAAACAGCATTTTCAAACACATATCATGTATTCATTCGCCATTAGAATTTCATCCTAAGAAACATGTATTATTATTATTATTATATTATTATCCCGAGGGTTCCTAGTAGAATAAAGAGCTTCAGTAACACGTATCCACTTCACTCTGTTCTCTCAAGTATTCTCAACATGGCTCCACGACTACCCAGAAGCTTTCATTTCTCCCTCACATGATCTACTACATGTCATCCTCGCAATGAACGCCCGACTCGTCGTTTCCACTTTGAATTCCACTCGAGGGTCTGACCTGGTGCGTGATGTCCCAAATGGTCTTCTCAGTGTATACCCAATCCACTTCGACTTACTTCTGCATAATTGTTGGGCTATGGGTTCTTGGTTGGTTCGTTGCAGGCAGGCAGGCAGGCAGCCAGAGTTCCTCGTTGCTTATTCTTATTATCATGGCCATCTGATCTCATCTTCAGTATCGAGTGAGCGTAGGCGGCAGCTGTTGATGTATGTGTGCAGTTTGTTGGAGATGCTTTTCGTGACGCGCCAAGTCTCTGAAACATCACATGGAAGCACTGACTTGACTGACATTAGTGTTGAAAATCCGGATGTTGTTCACGCTTTATGCTGAGTGGAGTGCAGTGGAGTAGATCTCCACACTGATTTCATATTAATGAAGGAAGGCATATCTTGGTGTCCTTCGGATGCTGGCTTCGACATCCTCATCTGTGCCAGTGTAGTGTGTAGTTGAATTGATGCTGTCCATGTAGGCGGGTGAAAGAGACAGCTTCCTTTGGTTTTCTCCCATTGATGGTGATTGGTGCTTGTTGTTGTCATTGTTTGGGTATGTTCATCACCTCTGTTTTGTCTACGTTTCCCTGGAGTCAGTTTCGTCTTCGCTGCCTCGCCTCTCCTGTCAACTTGTTAGTTTTCGACTGTAGATCTTTCAGTTTGTACGACATTGGACATAAGTCTTCATCGGCTAAATCCGAATCCTCCTTCTTCTAGAGTCTTTTCATTGGTCAAACATTGTATGCCCCTCTTCTCGCTGCTCACAGTTTGTTGCATGATCCAGTCCAGTCGACCACAATCAGGAAGATCATCGGTGATGATAATAGGTGGCAGTGTTGTCTTGTCTTACTTCTGTCTTCACTTCAAAGGCATCACTGTTGTTTCCATTGTGAATTAGTTGGCATGTAGCATCATATAGTATGGCATATAGCTGTTGAATGAGGTTGATAAATATTTGTGGCACTGAAAGAAGTTACGAGTGGTTATCGTGAGTTCGTTCTGGAGTTACATTTCTGTATAGTTAGTGAATACCGCCCTCAGGTCAAATCTCTTCTGTCTATAGTTTCATGTTGCGCTTCAGATTTTAGTTTCTTTATCGCAAATCGTATTTGTTGCATGTCATGTCCTTTAAGCTTGGGAAGCATAAACTTTACTGAAAACAAACTCTTCTTATGCCTCATGGTACTAGTTACTGATCGCACCAGATATTTGAAAATGTGAATTCAACTTGCCTAGGTCCTTAATAACTTCGTTTG